GTGAGTCACTGAGAGTGGCTGTGTTTCCGACTGATTTTCTAGGATTGCCGAAGAGACTCTGCATGGCTATTCCCTGACTCCATTCCCCCTTCTAAGCCCACCTGGCAGCATCATGAGATCTTGATCCCAGAGGTCTACCTTGACCTCACTGAGGTTTTTGAGTTCCTGACCTAAGCCCGACTCTGGCTCTGGAGGTCAATGTCATCATGTATTATGCCCCACTGTCTCCCTCCCTCTGGAAAAGTGGTGCCCACTAGCTCGTGGCTCTGTGCAATGGAAGGGCAGTGGTGAGAGGGTAGGAGCAGGGCATTGAGCTGATTTTCTGAATGGAGCACTTCACATTTCTATGGAATGAAGAGGCATGAGAAATCCAGGAGAGGAACTTTCAGTGGAGAGAAAAGGCTCTGGGCCAGTGGGTTCCAGCCAGAGATGGTGAGAAGAGACCACTATTGCTTCTGGAATGTGTAGCCTGGCTTGGGTCATGGTCCAGCAGGCCAACACACTCGTCATTTCCTCTCAAGAAATGCCTGTGACTTGAGAGGGTCCTGGGAGCTGTGGCTTGCCCGTTTTGTTCTCTCACCTGGACTCAGTGACCTAGAGGCAGACTTTTTTGTATTGGCCTGAGGCCTGGTAATGTTTGCTGCAAAGCAGTCTTTTTCAAAATTGATGTTGTTTTGAGCCATGAGACTCTTGCTTTAATAGCCCTCTTAGGCAGAAGCTTTATATAATAAAGCAGGATTTCTCAATCCTGGTGCTGTGGACATTTGGGGTTGATGATTCTTAGTGGTGGGGGCTGTCCTGTGCATTGTAGGATGTTTAGCAGCATCTCTAATCTCTACCCACTGTAAGCCATTGTTACTCTCTTTCCCCAGCTGTGACAACCAAAAATGTGTCCAGATATTGTCAAATGTCTGCCGAGGGGCAAAATTGCCTCCTTTTGAGAACCCATGTATTACGAGACTAAAGTGGAGGTAATTTATTTAAAGTAGGAGTGGGCACCTGATGTGCCACCCTTTGCCCTCTTTCTTCTCCCTCCACTCTCTGTTTCTGATTGAACCAGGACACCCGGATTGAGAGCAGAGCTGCAGGTTCCTGTGGGGGCCACTGCCATGCACTCTGCAGAATTGCACAGTCCCTTGGGCATTGCCCTAAATTCTTTTCCTCCACAGTGGGAGTGGGTTTGTAAGATGTCCGGGCAGGGATGAGCTGGTCCAGCCTGTGGTCCTGGAACAGGGAAACCAATCACCGCCCCCACAGGGTTTAGGTGCCTGGCCTTCCTCTAGAAGTGAATAGGTATTGATTTTTTTTTTTTTTTTTTTTTGAGACAGAGTCTCACTGTGTCATCCAGGCTGGAGTGCAGTGGTGTGATCTCGGCTCACTGCAGCCTCTGCCTCCCAGGTTCAAGTGATTCTCCTGCCTCAGTCTCCCGAGCAGCTGGGATTACAGGCGCCCACCACCACACCTGGCTAATTTTTGTATTTTTAGTAGAGACAGGGTTTCCCCATGTTGGCCGGGCTGATCTCGAACTCTTGACCGCAAATGATCCACCCACCTCAGCCTTTCAAAGTGCTGGGATTACAGGCAGTATTGATTGATTTTCAAATGACAAAACAAATGCTCAATGAAAACAACCTGGACAGCCCTGAAAATCACAAAAAAGGGGAAGCCACGTGTAATCGTGCTGGGTTGAGGTACTCACTTACCATTAACAAAAGCAAACCAAACCTGCTCTTTTACTATATATACATATATATATATGTAAATATTACATTATATTTTTTAGAGCCTGCCCTTTTCACTAAAAGTGGTGGTCTCTCTAGTGGCACACACACATCAGCCAGCAGAGTCACAGTGCTGACCCTCCTGGTTGGGTACCAAGTGGTGAGTCATAGGAGAACTTGGCAGGTGCCCAGCTGATGCCATCCAGAAATGTCAGGGCCTCATCTTCATCCTCCTGCTCTTCCTCGGAACCTGCTCTGATGCAGTGTCTATGCACTCCTTGAACCTGCTGGAATCCTCTGTATAAACTCCTGCTGGAACAGTTTTCCTGGAGGCCATGAATGACAGGTTTCCTACCCCTCTACACTCCACCACATGGGGTTTTTTATCAATGATTGCGGAGAAATGACAACTTCCAGCAGAAGCCTGATGCCATTTTTAGCTTGAAAACTGAGAACAAGACTGCTCAGTTTCTGTAAGGCACAGGAGGAAAATAATCAGCACAACCAGCTCTGCCTGAGGACTTATGTATGTCCCACAATGCAAAGGAGTTTCCTTTTTTATCATAGTCTTTTGCTCTTCACATCATTCTTAGGAGGCAGTTATTTTATTATCCCCATTTAATAGATGAGAAAACTGAGGCACAGACAGAAGAGGTAACCTGGACAGGGCACATAGATAGGGGCACTGTTGGGACCAGGATACGCATTTTGACCATCAGCTTCTAGGGCAGGAGTCGACAACTGTTTTCTCTAAAGGGCCAGAGAGTAAATATTTCAGGTTTTGCAGGCCATATGGCCTCTGTAGCAACTATTCAGCTCTGTTATTTGTAGCTTGAAGATAGCTATAGATGACAGTAAATGAATGAATATGAACATGGAAATTTGAATTTCGTGTAGTTTTCATATGTTACAAAATATAATTCTTCTTTTGATTTTTAAAAATGTAAATGTCATTTTTAGCTCTGGGGCTGCAGGAAAGCAGGCAGCGGGCTGTAGCTTGATGACTACTGCCTTAGAGCCCTGACTCCTACTCACACTGTTGCACTGTGGCTATAAAAATGCCATTTCCTGATTTAGGAAAACTCAGACCTACCCAACGGAGGAGGTGGGGACCATCATTCTACTTACCGGAGGACTCTTTGCATCAAGGAGTTCATTCATTTCTCTGCCATATCTCAGTGCGTGCATAAGTCAGGGAAGGGTCAATTTGTGGGCATAAGGACGTGAGGGCTGAGAAGGGTAAGGGTCGAGAACATGGTAATGATTGACAACTCAACTGTAACAACACATTTATGGAATTATAATGTGGGCTGAGAAAAATGATTTCATTGATTTAAACAATTTGAACAAAGTTGCTTGTTGGGAGCAGATCCTTATAGGAAACTGGGCTTCTGTGAATGAGAAGTATTCTGTACAATCATGGTGATCTACTTGGTAATTTACAAAGCCCAGGGAATACACTGGGGGACCTGGTGACACAGATAGTTCTACTCCTCTGGCACTTTCTTTTCATCTAAAATGTTGCCAGGTTCCCTGCCATAGTGGGACCAGACCACCCAAACTGCTCTGGGGCTGTAAAGCTTCCAGGGAGAACTTTGGCACTGGAATCCAATACCAACCTGGCCACCTGGTCCATGTCCCCAGCAGATGCCAGTGTCTCTGGCTGCTCAGCAGGGACTTTGAGAGAATGTGGTACAAAACAGGTTCTCAGCATACCTTGTCACCGTGTGGCTCTGAAATGCTTCCAGAGGCCCTGGCAGCCATAGTCCTGCTGCCTTGCTGGCTCTCACTCGACTTGGTGGCAGATGGCAGAGCTACGGGTGTGGTGGTGCTGGGGAGGAGACGTCTGGGGAAGGTGGCTGTCACTTTTCTGGACAGAGTGTGCCTGGGTTAGTTCTGTCCCAGGATGAGCTGTCACCTCTCTGCACTCTTCACTAAGACGGTACTTAGACTTCATGGCCACTGATCAGAGTAAAATCCTGGGAGGATGGGGTGGGCAGTGGAAGGCCTTTTCCTGAGATTCTTTGGTGCCTCTTGGGATCGCAGGTGTGTACGAATGGGCATCTTTCATACACCTTTACAGCTGCAAAGGGCTTTGATAATCAATAGCATAATGGTTCTCAACCTGGGGACCCCAAAAGCATTAATGAGGGGTGTTTATTTCTGGAATTTCGTCAATATAAAAATAATAAACCCAGAAATCAGATCCATACCCATGACAAACCTTCTCATGCTGACAGCATATTGAGTTTCTTTGCTTTGAGCTGGAATGTATGCACTGGATCAGTTAGCACGGGTTTGTGTCTGTTGATAAAAAGCTCTGGTTAACAGTGATTTATATCTCTGATTAATAAATCCAAGAAGATTAATTAACTAGCACTTAATAGATGTAGTGTGCTGGCTAGACATAAACCCCTTAAACATGGGATCTCTTGGGGCAAAGTTCTGAAAGGAGATCTTCATGATGAAAAGGGGAGAAACTGCTGATCCAGTGCAACTCTCCTCTTTTACAAATGAAGACATTCGAGACCCAGAGAGGTGGAAGCACTGGCTCAGTCACTGGGTCCTGAAGTCTCAGATGAAGATAGAGTTTGTGTCCTCGACTGCCAGGTTCCCATTCTTTCCATGACACCCTAGTGACTCCAGGATACTTAGGTGGCCCCCACTCTCTGGAGTCAACTCCACCCAATCAAGCCATTGGTTTTCTTGAACTCCAGGAGGGATTGGGCTGTGGGTCACCCAAAGACGGCTTCCAGGGTCTAGACCCTGGTGATGCTGGAAGTAGGTGTGTGTCCCTCCTTGGCTATGCCTGCTGGCCAGCCAGCCACCCCCTCCTTTTTTTAAGCCATATCATTTGTATTGTCTTTATGGGCAATAACTAAGGAAAAAAAAAAAAAAGGGCCAGCCCTTAGGAAATTCTGAATAGGAAAAAGAAAGAAAGGGAACAGAGGAAAACTGAATTAGGAAGGCAAGCAGGGAGATTGAACTTCACGTCTTTAAATAGCATCTTTTTGGAGCTGATGGGGATTCAACACAATCCATGGGCCAGGAACTTGGAACCAATGAATCCAGTTAATTCTCTCAACAACTCCGTCAGGCAGACAGTGTGAACCTCACCATATAGAGGAAGAAACTGAGGCTCAGATTTATTTGGTGACTTGACAAAAGGCCTGGCTGTCAATTAGCTCATCAGGGATCCAAACCCAGGTCTCTGTGGCTCCAAAGCCAGCCCCATTTCTGTTGCATCTAGTGACCCTTACCTTTCCTCCTCCCCTACAGACACATAGAGAACTGGCGCAGTCTTCACACGCTCAATGCCGTGGACATGGAGCTCTACACCGGACTCCAAAATCTGTGAGTGCACCCGGCCACAGAGAGGTCTTTCCCTGTGGAAGGGGCGGGTGTCGCCTGGTCTGCCTTCTGGGGTGGAGTGAGGGGCACAGCAAGGCTGCCATTGGTGCTTCCCCTGCTGGGTCTTCTTTTGGTAGAGTTGGCAGCATACACTTAGGGGACACCAGAGGCTTCAAAGGCCATCTCTTCACACCCCTTTGTTTCACCCTAGTCTGGAGAGGCAAGGGGGTTGCGTGAATTCCCATCTTGAAGGTAGGGTTTCAAGGCAGGCCCGGAACCCAGGCATGCTGGGTGAGTGTCCTTTCCCTTGCCTTATGCTTGACTGATGAGCCCCATGGAGTATGAGATTTCTCAGCTACCTCCTCCCTTGGATGTCAGTGCTAGTGACTGTGGGGACCTGGAGTGGGGAGAGGGACAAGGAACAAAGAGGGCTGCAGCCCTGCCATCACTGGACCAGCAGAAGCCCTGGTCCTTACCCACTGGCCAGGATGGATGGAGGGCAGCTGCCAGTATGACCCCTGACCTCCCAGCCTCACACAGGGCCCCGGGGCAAGTGAGCCCAGATGCCTCCACTGAGCACCCCAGTGGGCCACCTGTAACGACTGGCAATGAAGAGGTGCAGATGACCCACAGGGCGGCTGCAGGGCCAGCCTTAGCCTCACCCCCTGCCAGTCTCAGCCCAGAGCAGACATCCCTCTGCCACTTCAGCTCTGCTGATCCTCTTTTTCTCTCTGTCTAGGACCATCAGGAACTCAGGACTTCGGAGCATTCAGCCCAGAGCCTTTGCCAAGAACCCCCACTTGCGTTACATGTGAGTAGAGCTGGGCTGCAGGGATGGGGGGGCACATGGCAGGGACTCTCGGGGCAGTGAAGCTGGAGACCTGAGGTCTAGACCTGGCTTTGCCTCCAGGAGCTCTTGGGCGAGGTTTTGAACTTTCTTGGGCTTCCAATTTTGCCTCTTAAAAGTATTATTTTGGGTTTGATGATCTCTGAGGTTCCTGTCAGAAGGAAAAATCTAGGACTAGGGGCTGAGAGGGAGAGTCAGTCTCCTGACACCCAAGTTTGTTCACTTTCATGATGAAACTTGCAACTTTATGGGAATGTAAATGATAGGGAATTCTACTCGTATGTAATGTGAATACTACACTTCTGAGACCATACATAGGCTCATAAGAGTGTGTATGTGTGTTAGGACTTGGGGGTTGCAGGAAGAAAGAAAGCATGACCAATAGCCAGTGTTATGTCTAAATAGATTCTGGGTTCAGTGGGGAAAAGCTCAGAGAAGTGGAAACACCTGTATAAAGTCACACAGCTTTGTTTGGGACAAGCTAGAGGTCAGGTGGTTATGGGTGGGGGTTCCTGTCTGTCTGTGCCTCCTTTACCCTGTCTTTCCCCTTTCCCTAGTGGGGATAGAATCACAAGAGTTGATGCTTCCTCTCTAAGCCCAGTTCTGGGCAGATAGACTTTGGGATTTAATTGAGGACTGCCATTTCCTGAGGAGAAAGTGGGCATGAAAGGAAGCCTGGGGTGAGTGATTAGGGGAAGTGCCAACCTGCTGCACCTGTAGAGGGGTGCTTGTTGTCTGGGTCAACTCCAAGGAGAGTGGCCATCTCGGACATCCACTGGGCATATTCCCAAAGAGTAGAGGCTCTGCAGGAACCAGGTTGGGAGGGGTCTATTGCCTTTGGGGAGAAAGTGGAGAAGTGGTGTGCCTTGGGCTAGTCTTTCCTGTGGCCACTTATAAGTTTCACTGACTGAGCACTTTGCTCCAGAAGTTCCAGGTGTTTATTTTATTTTATTGCATTTGGAAGGGCAGCTGGGCTGGAGAGAAATTGCATGCACAGGAGCAGAACATCCAGGGGAGCTGTGGGAAGTGGAGGGTAGGGGAGGTGGGGAAAGGGAAGAGATCACAGTGAATCCTGGTGGAGGAGTTATTTTTTCTTTTCTGGGGGGTCCTGACCTTACCCCCAGGCTCTGTGTGTTTTCCCAAGCACATAGTGAGTGCTTGATAAATATTTGTTTATCAGTATGGCCACCTCTGCTTTCTGCGGAGCTTTCTTTTCTCTCTCTGGAAATAGCAGGCTCTATGGCCACTGCTCAGAGCCAGATGTATCGGCTCCAGGGGACTGAGACCTCCCTTTCAGCTGTCTAATTTAGCTGCTGCCCCTTGCCCCAGGGTAGCGTCTGTGGTGAGAGTCTCCTGATATGCGTTCTTTGCAACTGGAGGCATAGCTGGGACCAGAGGAGGGTCTTGGACCAGATGTTCCAGGTGTTTATTTTATTGGGGGTTTGAGTTTCACTGTAAAACATCCCAAGGGAAAAAGCTTTGGACATCTGAGAAGGCTCTGTTTTCATAGTAATTAATACAAGGGTCACAAAGCCAAATGCCCATGGTGGACCAGGTGGGGTCATGTGTTCCCTCCAAAGAGGCAACCAGTCATCAGTTCCAGCTGACTGCTGCCACATGGAGGTGGGGCCTGGTGTGGTCAGACTTGTTTCCAGAAGACTTAGAGATTCCATGAAACAACTCAAGTTTTAAATGCTGCCAACTAAAAACAAGACCCTTCAACTCCATGGGCCAAACGAAACTACTTCCATGAGCAGAATGTGTCACATAGAGTGCCAGCTTGTGGTGTGAGGTCATATTTGGGGGAGGGACGCTGTGGATGTGAGAGAAACCCTCTTCTCTTTGAGGACAGGGACTGGGTGTTCAGGTTCCAGAGCCTTCTAGGGTATGGTGTCCCTGCTGCTCTTAGGGAGATGGAGAAGCTTCGGGACCCAGGCTCTGGAGTGGGAGCAGGGTTGCATCTTGGGCTGCAGGTGTCTCTAAAGTGGGTTGTACCAGAGCATGTCTTTGGCTTGCCCTTAAGGATCCTGGAAGAGGGCTGTGACCCATTGTCTCTTTTGGAATGATCTGGGTCTGCTGAGTGGTGGCAGTGTTAGAGGCTTGTGGAGGTTTGCAAGATTCCCAAGGCTTTGTGGGTAGGAGGACCTAGTTGGAGTAGGACCCAAGGATACCGTTGAACCTGCCCATGACCTTGGGCCCTGTTTTCTCCTGGACACATTGGCCACATTTCTCCTGGACACACACTTGCCAAAGTACTTGCTATTGGTTACAGGGGGATTACCGAGAAGGATGGATGACCATTAGTTCACCCCTAGTTTGAGTCTGGCTGTGCATTAGGGGCAAGTCAGGGTGCTCAACCTCGTTCAAGAAAGTCAGCATCCAGTCAAGTGGCTCTGATAGGCACAGTGGGACGCCCAGAGGAGCCTGGGGGTCACAGAGAGACGAGTCAATAGGGTGAGGCATAGGCACTGGCTTCATCCACGGGTTTTATTTATTAACTTTTCTTATTTATGAAGACACACATCAAATTTCCAATTGAGTAAATTTCCCGGCAGCTTTGGGACATTTTCTCCTGGCAAATGGGCCAGGTTTCTCTGCTGTCTCACAACATCTTCTATTTCTGTCCTCTAAATGCATTTACAAGTCTTCTGGCCCCAGCTGAGCAATCACAAGATGATCACTTACTCCAACACTAATTGCCGAGCCCTGGCTTGGCGGCTTTTTTTTTTTTTTTTTTTTTGGAGGCGGGGAGGTGATGGCTGAGAAATCTTTTCGTCTCTCCTCTGTACAAAATAAGAAGTAGGAAGTGATATCATTGCCTCTAGTACTGATGTCAAATTGTCCAAATTGTTCTGATTGGTTGAACTGTCTCCCATCCCTAAGCTACCGGTGCATTAATCAGTGTAATTCTTCCTCATGGTAGAAAATGAATTGACAAAGTTTTGGCCAAGTTGTCTGCTACATGGTAGGCTGGAGATTAGGACTCTTGGGCCCTACTTCATGGTTTATGAGTGACTGACCATCTTTTCTTGACTGTTTCAGTTTTCTCTACCTTTTGTAGACTGTGGAAAATGAGATATGGATGAATACACATCAAGGGAAGCCCATTTTTGAGAGATGGGAATATTCTCCACCCTCGTATCCCTTCTCTGATCCTAAGAATTTTGGATTAAGGATTTTTAAGGATATGGATTTCTGAGATTGATAATTGGAATAGCTATATGCCAATCTGAAAAGTGGGCATAATAATAGTGTCTATTTGAGGGATGGGATGTGGTCAAGATTAAATGATAAGAGGCACATACAGCTCTCAGTCCAGTGCCCAGCAAATAGTGAGCGTTCAGAGAGGACAGTTGCTAGTAATGATAGTAATTAAAGTTATTATTGCTGGTGGTGATGATAGAATCAAAAAGAAGGGGTTAGGTAACCTTGATGGGTACTCTAACCACTTCTTTGTCCTGGAAAAGCTGAATTTCAGTCTCACAGTGGAGCCCACTTCTCTGGTGACTGGAATACTCATATTCTCCAGCGTCTTTCTTCATTGTACACTGATGAATAAATCCGGATGAGTTCTCTATTCTCTCCATTTATCCTCACTTGCTCTAGACTGTATGTAGACTTCTCTGTAGATGCTGTCAGTTTCACAAAGGACCTAAGCAATTGTAAGTGGTGAGCCGACAACTTTATTTATTTCCACCTGAGTAGAGATCTTGTCCACCAGCATTATTGAACTTGGGTTGTTCTTGGAGTCCTCTGAGCCCCGCTTCTGCAACCAGCCCCTCTTTCCCTTTATGGGGTGTGTTTTCTCTGATATGGCTCATACAGACTGGATCGCCACAGTCTGGGATCCCATACATGAAGAATGTAGATGTCTGTCTATGAGCTGCACTCAAACAATGGTACTTACTTTCATCATAGAGCTCTTTATGGTTTTCAAAGTGCTTTTCCATACATTATCTCATTGAATTCTCATAACCATCCTGGGGGCAGGGATATGGTAGGCAGCTTTATTTTACAGCACAGAAGATAGGCTCAGAGAGGCTCTGACTTGTAAGTAGCAGAAGTAGAACTGCACCTAAGTCCTCTGATTCTCTTTCCAGGAATCTTTCCACTATAGCTCATGGGCCAGAAGAGGCAATGTTTTTTCACAGAAGCAATTTAAAAAGTTACTGTGCTTTGCTAGTCATTACTGTGTTTAGAAAACCACATAGAACTGCTGGTATCAGAAAAGAAGAGGGAAAGGCTAATACTGGTTGAGAACTGCCTGTGTGCCAAGAACTGTGCCTGGTGCATTGGCAAATATAAGCTCACTTACTCCCCACAGTAGCTCTAAGTTAGGAGTCCTCTCTCCCCATTTCATAGATGCAAACACTGAAACTCAGAAGTTATAACTGAGTTCTCCTAAGGTTACACAGTAAGTTAGTGGAACAATCAGGATGTGGACTCTAAATCCTTTGAATCTGAAGTCCGTGTACCTTTTTACATTCCAGGAGCGTTTTGTCTCTCTGGTTTTCACAGCAAGAACTTCTTATAGGAGGGGTGGGCATCTTTAAAGTTCCGTGAAAGAGCTGCTCTTTCCCCCTGGGGATTCAGCACGATCCATCCTCAAAGAGCTCTGTTAAGAAAGCTCTGTTTAGTTCCTCTTTCTATTCAGGTCAAATCCTATAATGACAGTTACATTACAACCTGAGTATCTTTATTACAAAAGATTTCTTAGCATTAGCCTATGGCCTACTTATTTCCAAGAATATTTAATGTAAGATTCCAGCAAGCCAAGAGAATTTATTTAATCCCTAGAGTTGATTGTGGTGGGATCTCTCTTGGGCTCCATTTCTTGCTCTTTTCCAAAAAGCTCTAGATGCCGGACTAAGTTATTTCTCCTTCTTTTGGAAGCAAACGTGCACTCAATCTTTAGCTGGGAGTGTCAGTCGCCAGAGTAGGGTGAAAGATGGAGAATGTCCTGA